CGGCTGGATCAAGGAACAGGTAAGATCAAACAAAAACTCTGCAGAAGTAAGAGCGGGTAGCTGTCAAATTCAGGTACCCGCTCCCCACTTCCCCAAAGGTCAGCAGTCATCTGTACTGTCCGCAGTCTCTGGTCATCCCTGTGCTGTCCGCAGTCTCTGGTCATCCCTGTGCTGTCCGCAGTCTCTGGTCATCTCCTGTACTGTGTCTGCAGTCCATTAGTTCAGAATTTTTTTTTTCCTGTTTTCTGCCTCTAAAACCTAGGTGCGTCTTATGCTCAGGTGCGTCTTATACGGCGAAAAATACGGTAGCTGTAAAGACTTTTAAATTGTCACATATGGAGATTTTTGGGTACAATAGGTTTTTTTGCGATATCATAGGCGCACACAATGTTAAGACTTGAAATGTTTGGTATCTGTTTACTCAACGCAACCTCATATTTTATATTTTACCAAAAAATTTAGTATAATATTGTGTGTGTTTGAACTAAAATTTATTTTATAATTTTTACTGAGAATATGCATTTTTTTATACATTCTTTTATTTAAAGCTTATACAATTTTACAATGCAAGGAAGACATATATAAGCATATTCAATAAGAACAATAACATATGGATAAAAGATAAAAAAAATGAACTGTATTATAAAATGAAAGCACATAGTGCTATGATAAACATAACATATCATAAGATAACACAATGAATGCTGCATTAAAATACTATACAATTGGGGAGTGGGGGAAAAAGAAAAATAAATAAATAAATAAATAAAAGGAGGGGGGTGAAATGGGGAAAGGAAGGAGTAGGGAAATGAAGGAGGGGTGGGAGGGAAGTAAAAACCCCTAATCCAACTGTGGGGATATAAAGGTCAATACATTTAAGATATACGCATAAAGTTATTATTCATCAAGGGCTCCTCAAAGAGGAAGGGGAAGAGTCTGTTAGGATAATAATATATTTGTCAGAATGGGGAAGTCCTTCCAGCAGGACCATATATTATGATACTGTATTTTCTGATTTGTATTTTTGAGAAAACTAGTACAATTTTCCATGTGTTCGATATCATGAATTCAACAAAACGACCAGTCATATGGTGGGAGGCTAAGAGGATTTCCAAAGAACTGGGATGCAGGATCGGGCTGCATTTACTAAATAAATAATGACTGAATTTTTGTATATTTTAAGAGGTATGTTCTTATGATGTAGAAGGAAAAAAAAAAAAATTGGATCTTTAGGGATAATATGATTAATGACTTTCTGAGTGACAATATGTACCTTGGTCCAGAAATCAAGACAGGGATAAGTCCAGAAGATATGTAACAAATCTGCCTGTTGATTGTCACATCGCCAGCAGGAATCTGAAGTAAGTGGATATATTAATATTAATAATTTAGGAGTATGATACCAACGAGAAAGTAACTTATATCCAGATTCTTGATATTGATTACTTATAGATGAGCGAATTGATACTATGAGTAATTTAGATCTAGCCTGAAGTGTAAATTTAATATCCAGATCCTGTTCCCATTTATATAAATTTTGAATGCTGTTGTAACGAGTCAGAAAGTAAGAGTTTATTGGAAAAGGAAAGTGCATGGGAAAAAGGACCCATTGCCCGGCATTCTTGTTCAAATGTCGTCAGTTAGCGAATAAATGAAACAGCATTTGGTAAAGAGCATAGAAAATTTAAGATTTGAAGGATCTGCAATGGTCGAGTTGAAGAGAAAGAGGACTCAGATGACATTTGCTCTGGCGGCAACCAAGTCAAATTTTGTATAAACTGGAATGCAAGATATTTATCTTTAGCTATTATTATGCGAAACGTTTTATCTCTTCTACCTGGAGTGAATTTAGGATGGTCAAAAATCGGGAGAAGTGGAGAGGGTAAGGGGGAGATCTCATACTTAATAAAAAAACATTTTTACAGTGTTTCCATGTGGTTGTAATGGTGGGGTGAGTATGTAGAATCAATTGTGGATGTATTGGGCTCCACAGGAGAGCAGGGAGGGGAATGGAAGAAAAAAAGATTGTTCCGTGGATACCCATTGTTTTATATCAGAATGTCTACACTAATCTATGGCTCTTGAAAGGTGAGCAGCGAAAAAGTAAAGTTTAATGTCAGGGAGTGCCAATCCTTCTAAGGTTTTTGGTCTGTGAAGAATAGTATCTTTAATCCTGACAGGTTTGGAAGCCCAAATAAATTTATAAAAAAATGGATTGTAACGTTTTAAAAAAGTAAGTTGGAATGTTTATCAGGATTGTTTGAAATAGATACAGAATCTTGTGAAGTGTATTCTGTTTCAAAATATTACATCTGCCCGTCCAAGAAAAATTACAAGACCAGGAAAGCAGATAGGTTTGAGGGTAGTAAAATACCCAGATATTTAATGTGGGATGAGGCCCATTTGAAATGGAAATTTGTCTGTAGATTACAAAGTTTATTTTTTGGGATAGTGAGCTTTAGGGCTTCAGATTTTTTATAGTTAACATAAACAATTGAGTACTGTCCTTGATACTTTTTTTATTTGCACTAACATACAATTTTGAGGACAAGCTTTCGGGGTATGTCCCCTTCTTCAAGGTCTAAGCAGTACTATTACAAATCACAAAGTTTAAGCAGAATGTTAGAAGGGATTGAGAAAAAAAAAAAAAAAAAGGGCTACAGATAAGATACATCAAAAGCGAGGGGGGGAGGGGGGGATACAACACTCACACAGAGGGGGGTCAAGTTTTAGCTAATAGATAGTCATAAAGCTGTCGGATAATGGTTGAGGAATCCCATGTCCAAATTAAGACCGTTATCTTTTGTGTCAAATAGAATTATCATTCTTAGTTCAAATGTTTTTCTTTCCTGGATAGATTTAAATTTTCCTTTCAGAACTAAAATATTGAGGTCTTCCATATTGTGGCCTGGTTGTGAGAAATGGTGTCCTACAGGTGTGCAGAGGTCATCTTCTTTATGTTCCTTGATGGTATGTCTGTGCAAATTCATCCATATTTGCAACTTCTGTCCTGTTTCACCAACATAAGATCCTTTGCTGCATTTTCTGCACTGGATAAGGTATACAACATTACTGGAGGTGCAGCTGTATGATCCGGAAATATTGAAGATTCCTTTTGAGTGTCTGACACTTTTTGATGGATTGATTTGGTTGCACAGCTTGCAGCGTTTCTTATTGCAGGGTTTGCTTCCATTATTTGTGGCATCATAATCAGAAGGAAGTTTCCTACTGATTCGTTTATTTCTGAGGTTGGGGGGTTGTCTGAAAGCCAGTATTGGGGGTTGCTGGAATATTTCTTTCAGAGTTCCATCCTCTGTTATGATGGGTTGTAAATCTTTGACTATTTTTCTTATTCCCTCTAGTGCCGGGTTGTATGTAGTTACTAGAGGTACACGGTTGTTTGTTTTTTTCTCTTTGTACTGAAGTAGATTTTCCCTTCGGGTTCTCAAGGCTATGTTCATGTTTAACATGAAAGTTTGATAAGTTCCTGTGTCGTTTAAATTCCGCAATCAGGTTTGGTAAAGTGGTAATAGGCTATGAAAGAAAAGTAAGTCATCTGCATATGCCGAAATTGTATGTTCACAATTCCTGCAAAAAATTTCAGTAATATCTGGATTTGCTCTAACAGTTCTCAGGAAGGGTTCTCATGTTAATGTGAAAATGAGTGGAGATAGTGGACATCCCTGTCGAGTTCCATTTGTTATAGAAAAAGAGGAAGAAAGAGTACCATTTAAGCATACCTGGGCTGAGGAATTTGAATAGAGGGCATTGATCCAAGATCACATACATGGACCTAAGTCTATAACCTCTAAAGTGAGACATGTGAAAGTCCAGTCAACCCTACCAAAGGCTCTTTCTGCACCTGGAGAAAGATAAAAGAGTGATCAGTCTTTGAAAGAACTGAGTGGATAACATTGACAGCACACCTCTAGCTTCTCTAGTTGGCATATATCCCACTTGGTCTAAGTTGATAAGTTTCCGAAGATGTGGTATAAGTCGCAGTGCAATTATCATGGCAAACAATTTAACGTATACATTAAGTAAAGAAATAGGTCTATAATTGGAACATAGTGTAGGATCTTTTCCTTCCTTGGGTATTTCTGTTATATATGCAGATAGGGCCGTTGGACAAATGGAGGAAGGGTGTTGAAGAGAATGAAATGCTTTTATAAAGTGAGGAGACAATTTAATAGCTTGAGCTAGTTCCGAGTCTGTGATCGGTGTATCCAAGAGAGAGGATGTGATAGTTGAAAGGGAAGGGATGCCTGATTGAGGTTTTAAAGCTATCTTCATGTAATCGTGATTGTTGACCAGGACACCTAGTGTTTAGATTATATAGGGAAGAATAGTAATTTTTAAAAGTTTCAGCTATTTCTGTTGTATTTTATTTTCATAGAGCCATCCTGAGAAGAAATCATAGGTATATAAGTTTTAGCTCTCTGCTTGCATACAGCATTCGCCAGAGATTTGCTACATTGGTTAGTATATTCATAAAGATGATGTTTGCATTTGGCAAGTGTGGCTTCTCCTTTATTTGAGAGAGGAACATAAGTGTGAAAGTTCTGTAAATGTATCTGGAGTTTGATGTTTTTTATGAAGAAGTTCAAGTTTTTGGATTTTAGAAGTCAATTCTTGATTTTTTTTCTTTTTTTTTTTTCTTAAGTATAGACCCATATTTAATGAAAGGGCCTCAAATAAAGGCCTTATGTGCTTCCCATGTCATGTGAGGGGAAATTTCGGGATCATTGTTAGATGTAAAATAAATATTTAGGTCAGAAGTTATTTCTGGAAGTATGGTTGGATCTTCAATGAGGGATTTGTTTAAAGTGTTACTGTCAGGGCTCCTGGTATGTGCCAGCCTTGGTACTGCAGCCCACAAGGCAGGTGAGTCCCACCACCATTGGTGAGTCCATTCCTGGCAGTACCCCCCCCCCCAAGGAGCGGCCTCAGGATGTTCCAAACAGTCCGTAATGGCCCGTATGTTCCACTGCCTGGGTCTGGCAACTGGCTGGACATCCCACTGCCGGAATAAAGCGATTGGCTGGGTCTCCTGCTGATAGGCCTATCTTTTTGCAGGAAACCGCAGGAAGGCAGGTTGCTGGACACAGGATTTCCAGAAGCAGGCTAGGCATCAGGAGCTGGTACGTCAGGCTGGGCAGCGGGCAGAGGCATGTCAGGCTGGGCAGCGGGCACCGAGGCATCAGGCACGACAGCGGGCACCAAGGCATCTGACAGAACAGCGGGCACCAAGGCATCTGACAGAACAGCGGGCACCGACTCATCTGGCACGACAGCGGGCACTGACTCATCTGGCAGAACAGCGGGCACCGAGTCATCTGGCAGAACAGCGGGCACCGAGTCATCTGGCAGAACAGCGGGCACCAAGTCACCAAGCTCGACAGCGGGCACAGAGTCATCTGGCAGAACAGCGGGCACCGAGTCACCAAGCTCGACAGCAGGCACCGAGTCATCTGGCACGACAGCGGGCACCGAGTCATCTGGCATGACAGCGGGCACCGAGTCATCTGGCACGACAGCGGGCACCGAGTCATCTGGCTGGATCGGGTCATCAGGCTGGATCACGAACACTGGGTCATCAGGCTGGGTAGGAACATCAGGCTGGGTAGCGTACACTGGGTCATCAGCCATCAGGGCATCAGGCTGAATCGCGGGCACCGGGGGCACCAGGCTGGACAACAGAAGGCGGGTTCTCAGACGGCAGGCTGACCGTTTTGGATACTGGCAGAATGGTACTGGTTGGAAAGAATTTTTGCTTCTTTTTGTTTTTAGTTACTGAAGCACTGTAAGTAAATGCAGGTCTGTAAATGGATGGAGCAGCTGAAGACAGGGAATAGCTGGAGGATGGAACAGAGGAGGGAGCAGTTGCTACAGAGGGCTTCTTTACAGGGTTAAAGGCAGGATAGGTGCAGCGAGTGGGAACAGGGTACTGGCATGTGGTTGATGGTAGGGTATACTGGGCTGTCACTGGGGGTGCTGTCAGGAATGCAGGAATAGAGCTTTGAAGAAATAGGTTAGAAGCAGGATTGAGTTTTTGCAAGATGGCTGAGGCTGGGTGTAACAAATCTGACCATGTCTGTAATACCGGTTGAACAAAGCTCAGCTTACACATAGCCTGTCTGACCAAAGACTGCACTGCATTTATGTAATCCATAAGCACATGTGATGGACAAACTGCATGATGCTTAAGGAAGCAATCTGGATCATCCTCCAACAGCCATACCAGTTATTCCACTTGATCTGCACTAAATGGTGGAAAAAAGTCACCCCTGCTTTCAGGGGTACAGGACAGAGCCGACTCAGCACAAACCTGGATCAATGTCTGCACCTCAGAAAACTCTGTGCCCCGATCCACTAGTGAATGAGCAACTTGTATGCATTCTAGCATCTGAGCCCTGGTATACTCCTTCAGAATCTGATTGCCATATTCTCTGTCTTCTAAGACTAACAGCGACAAGTACACAACCTCCTCAGGATGCATCTTTCTCAACAAGCCAAAATTGCTTCCCTGTGCAGCCACTTCTGGTCAGGATTGGCCTTGGTGTAATGTCAGGGCTCCCGGTATGACCAGAGATGTGTGAACTGACACAGGGAAACGCAGGCACAAGTATGGTGTAAAAAACAGGATCAAACAACCTTTTTACACAATGCAGAGGATTAACCCCTTAGGTTCCACAGTGAGTATAACAAGCATGCTTTACTGCATATACAGACTGATTTTACTGTTGTGCGTTTAGTAACACTTTAAACACCAGGACCAAGAGGGAACCGATGTGTCAATAGATAAACTGAGGTATATTGGAGTGTGGTTAGATAAGGTAATATTCCCTTTATTTAATTGTGTAGCATTGGAAAGTTAATGATGCTTTAGTAAAAAAAAAAAATCAATTCTCATGTAGGTGTTGCATACATGTGAGTAAAAAGAGTAATCTTTGGATGATGACATTTTCCAGATATCAATTCACTGGTGATGGTGAAGGCATTTTAAATATGTCTATGAGCAACAAGAGAGTGATTGGAATTGGCTTTTACAGAGTCTAAATTCGGGTCAAGCACAAAGTTAAAGTTGCCTCCCACTACTACTATGCCTTCTGCAAATTCATTGATTACAATTAGGAATATATAATGTAGCGAAGGTAATCAACTGGTTGTCACATCTCCCTTTGATGAAGAGACATCGTCCCTCAGCATCTCTATAATCGTCAAGAAAAGTATATTGAAATGTTCCTGCTAAGAGTATGCTAACTCCTGACTTCTTATCTGGGTAGCCTGAATGATAAATATCAGTAAAATATTTATAATTCAATCTAGGTAATTTAAAAGATGGGAAATCAGTTTCTTAAAGGAAAATTATGTGGGTTTTTTTTTTTGGGCAAAAAATATATAGATAAAACCTTTCTGCGCTTAAATGGATATACTAATGAAATCCGCTAAGCACCCACCTTTATACCAAAAGTAAACGTAATAAATAAAACTATTGGTGCAGTGCTAACAAATGTAGGCAATACCAGTAGATATATAGATGAATAGAAACATAAACATAATCTGCTATAAAAACGAATAGACAAGTGGGATGCACATACAAACAACCAGACAAGTGAAATGCTCATAAAACTAGACAGGTGAAATGCTCATACAAAACTTTGAGAGCCTGTGAGCAACTCCGTGGGCATAGATCAGGAGTCATAGAACCGTGTGAGTGTGACACACTTAATTGGGTGGTATTGGTGAGTTTATAAAACAGTCCATTTCAAACACAGGTGAAGAAAAAAACTTCATATTCGTGAAAGTGCCACTGGTGTCACAATCCTAGAGTGGTCTGATTGCCCCCTCACCTCCTTGTATTGACCACAAAGGCCAGCACGCTTTGTGGTATACACCACGTATCCACAGCAAACACCTTGCCTAATACTGCTCCAGGGTCATTGTCATCCAGGTCTCCTTCAGTCCCTCATTAATCTGGCAATACCTCTCGTTCCCCCAGGGTCAGCTCAGAGACATAAATGAACATGCTCCATAGTGTGATACTGCATTTTATTTGAATATAACAATAAAAAGTCCCACTCACATGTCAGAAGACCAATACAAGCAGAACATCCTCATAACATAGGTATTGCACAGAGTCCTAATATGGCGCGTGTGCCGAACGTCACGTCACCATGCTCCGGGAGTATTGTCTGGGCGTACCAACGTGTTGCGTCACGGGTAACACGTGACTTCGTCAGGGTAACCGCCCACATTAGCAAGACTGCCTTAAATTGGTTGCCTGGGTGTCAATCAACCAAAGAGACAACCCACGGCGGTTATTTTCTTGAAGTCCGGTATTGGGTACATAATAAAATCGCTATCAAATTGTATACTACCAAGAGAAAATGTATTTGGAAGCATATTTATAATGGAGGACTCAAAATAAATAAATTTAAAATTGATAAATGGATCCTACAAACTTACCTACAAACCTAATTTAAATAGTTCACAATCATCAAACAAGTGTTTACAAGGCGAGCCAACAAGTCAATACTGAATGATAATGGAAGTATTATTAGGTTTTATGTGTGCAAGTTCTTCCATGAGGCAGAGTTGGTCAATTGTTTTAAACCGCTCTGTATTGGTAGGGGCCTCTTTTTTGCTTTCATAGTAATGGTAATAGCAATTTAGCCACTGTCATGCCTACCTCTAGCATAGGTGATCAGACACTATAGCTAGCTGTTGTGTTCTTTACCTATAGCAACCCCATTCCGCATAAGACAAGCATTTTTTTGTGCCGAAACGTACAGGTGCAGCTGTTAAAATCTACGTGTAGCCGGGTGCGTCATTATATCTTTAAGGGGCATTTACAGATTAGACTATGGATAATCCTTTTCCTCCTAATTCCCAGTACTGGGACTGCTATGTGACTTCTTGTTAGCAGAGTGAACCTGTAGTTTTATAGCCAATGCATTATGTATTTCTGAGTGATGATTCAACTACAAGAGAGCTGGGGAATGAGAAGGTTGCTGGGAGAGCAGATATATTCTACTGCAAGGAACTGGCTCGCTCTCTTGGTATGGAATTCAGAGCTGAACATAGGGGCACTGTCACTCTCTTCCAAAGACAGATTGTTTGCCTATTTCTGCACTTCAGTTCAGCACAGCAATGATGCCAATCACCACACTGGGATCGCATCAGTCTTCTCTGCACCGGGATTGTTACTATCTGGTCTTCGCACAGACATCTCAGCTTGCCATTCTCACAAGCTGTCAGGCGGCAACTTTGCATATCCCTGCAAACAGCCAAGAGCCTGTGTAAGAACTCTTGTTCCTAGGAGGCCATGCTATCCATGAGATTGATGATATTGTTTGGCAGATGCCTAACCTCTTTCTGTCATCAATCTAGAGACACTGCATGCAGACACCTTTACACCTCAATATCAGGAGATCTTTGCTTTGATCAGTACCGCAGACTTTCTTTTCAACTTTATTGAATTACTAGTATTCACTACTGTTTATGGCCCCCACCATTGATAGCAGAAGGCAACGAACATCACCATATCAGGAACTTTAAACATGACAGGACTCAAGTTACAATCGCTATTTAAAGGGACCTCTTCTCTTATAAGGCCATTATTATTCAAATTAGGATATTTATATCTATGTATGTCAGAGTATACATTTACATAATTCTCTGCGTCCACCATTGCGGTGCTGGTAGACTAGTGGGACTTGATGAGGTAAAAAGCCTTTTCTTCCTCCTCTTACTGGTGGTGTTGCAGTTTAATAGTTGAACTTTACTACTCATAACTGTATAATTTGTTAAATGTTGCTAACTGATTATTCCTATTTTATCAGTGTTCTATTTTTATGTGTTAACTGGGGTTGTAAATCCTAAACCCACTATTCTTATAGTCTACTCTTTTGAACAAGACTAATATAGAGGTGTTATTAAAGAACTGTGTCTGTTGCATTATTATCCTATAGTTGAAATATGATGCTTGCAAGGTCAGGGCAACCACTGAGGACAAGCATTATCAAGCAGCCCCTGCAATGGTAGCACTACATCTGGGGGGCCCATCCAGGATGTCTCCCATGGTTAGCCCAGTTAGAAGTTCATCGGAACCCTCAATGAAGCTCCGTCGCAAGCTAACTGAGCCAGGGGTAAATGAACAGCCTCAATTTAAAGTCACTGTTAGATCATTCCAACAACTAGCAGGGAGAACAAAGGGTCAAGCCAACCATGTAACACCAAATGACTTACCTGAGAAGCTTATAGGGCTCTCTGCTATAGTGTCAGTTCAAGTGGAGGGAGTGTACACTAAGGCATTGCTAGACACTATTCACTCAGGAGGCCTATTAGACATAATACAGTAGCTATTGACATGCTGAAAATTTACTTACTGTATATGTACAATA